GAAGTGACGCGTTGTTACGGTTCTGATTGGTCCGGTTTCAACGTTCTATATACGGTCACACTCTCTTCTTGGCCTTACCTAGCAGACAGACCCTTGGTTCAATGTACTTCGGGTCTGTCAGCAGGTATCCACACGACCAGGCGTATCTGGACCCTTAGATAAACTAGCTAGGCTTACCGAAGACGGATTTGACCCTTGTTAGCTGTGGGGGAGAACAACGTTTTATTATTGCATAATGTGAGGATCTGAGAGCCCCTCTACAGGCCCTCTACTGATGTGTTTTACTCCTATTCTAAAATCAGTCAGGTGCAAACAGATGCTGTGGGACAATTCCCAGCCGACTCTGTCTACTGACATCTACCGACCAAGAGTTCACGTAGGTACGAACTCACCATCATTCTGAACCTGACCAAGGACTCGTTTAAACTAGCACCCGGTTAAATAAGGCATGAAATCATCATTTAGGCTAATCCGGAAAACCCTCAGCCAGGTTATATTAGGATGACTGAGGGCTCAGACGGTCTTAGGAGTGACTTCGTCACTGGAGCGCGGGGAATAAAATTAGCCAATCCGTACTTGAGGCCAGCTTTCTCCGAAAGCTCTTGTGCCAGTTGGCCTTGAAGACTCGGTGGTTTGTGGTAGCACAATTTGCTACACCACAGTATATTGTAAGATCAGGAGGACTCACGAAAGAAACTTTTTCGAGCTCGTAGCATTTATGTCTGAACAAATGCCATCCTTCTCCCATCACATGACTTCATCCTCTCGTAGTGCTAAGTATACATCTCCTAGTATACAGAAGCAACTAGTTCTGCGCGGCTAGTGCGGTTCTAGCGCATATTATGGAATATGAGATTGGCAGTGGCTTTTTTCGGTACTTGTGAATGAGACAGCTACGAAGCGAAGAGTGAGCACATATCAGTTGTTGTTCGGTTAGTCGCTCTTACGACTGGCAAATTACGGAGAGATTGATAGGATCGGCGCCTGTTGCAGACACCACGAGAGAAACACTGTACATCGCCGCGCAAACATGGCATTCACCGTGCCACTTTCTCAACATTGGTGGTCCACCAACAACGATTAAGACATAGTGGGGCGATTAGAGGTGTGTGAAATTTACTATACACTAACGAACTGTTTGCTAAATGTATATTCAGCGTTTGTAAGGAAGTCAGTAAATTATGTTTTTAAATTTTGTATCTTACTGGATTAATCGGTACGACCTACGACCATCCTCACCATTCAGTAATGAGAGGTACGCAGGTCATCAGCATTCATCTCCTCTTCTTCAAACTCACGTATCATGCCAACAGGCGTATATTGAGCATGTTGGACCCAGTACAGGGCAAAAATAGCGTATCTGTATTAATGAAGGTCACAGACACTACAGAAGGAATAACTCCATTAGTATGCATTATTCTTCAGCATTGTTCCTAAGCCCGGACGGTTTCAACTGTGTAGTAGTCCCACATGTCCTTATTGTACATCAGGAACATTAGCATCTCTAACGTCGACGCGTCCATTTGCTTTCGAAGTTCAGAGTAGACCAATCAAGCCGCGGAAAAGAATTTTTCGCACTCGTTAGAGGTGGGGGGAACGAACGCAACATCAGCGTACCTGGAGCGCTTGGCCACCTTGCGTTTCTTAAATACCTGCTGCACAGGTGAGAGGTCTGATGGAGGAGGAGGAGGTACTATCGTATCTGAACGGCGAAAGTCGGCACACGCTGTACGATCAGCTGGACTGAGCGGTTCCATCCGCTGCAGCTTGATGATCCCGCTCTCAAGGGCAACGCTGTTGACAATGGCGGCAGTTCCAGATAGCTGAGGCCTCATCTTCGGGTACCGTTGGATCACTTGGTCAAATAGGCGTCGGACACCGGAAAGGGTCAGGGTGGACTGCTGTAACATCTTAGTTACCCCTTCAAAGTCGGTGAGAATTCTCAGAAGCGGATGAACTCGTTCTGACTCGGCTCTGCGAAGCAAGAGTGCGTGAATGTCATACTCAACGAGCGTACCATGGTTCATCGAGTTAAGTGCCGACTCGAGTTCAGTGTATCGCATGACCATGGCATGAGTGCTTGACCATCTGGTGTCGTTACGGAGGACGGGTGACAACTCCGTTACACGGCAAAGGACAGCTCGACCCTTGATGGTTCGTAGCTTGGTCATCAGCGCATGGGGTTTTGTCAAGAGAGCGTCATAGTCGGCCATATAATCGGATACAGCCAGTTTAAACCTGTGCGATGCACAACCAACCATAGGAAGCGCACCTTCGCGGTTTCCAATGTACTGATTAACATTGCAATTGCCGGCCACCATGAAGTGCACAGCTCCCACGATTTGTTATTGCGTGAGAGCGTGTCAGCAATGAGATCAAAGAGGCTTTGGGCCCCAATATCCTCCTCCACACCAAGAGGACAAAACGCCAGCAGTAGGAAACGCCGAGTGTAGCAGTCAGTGTCACTATAGTACTCGGATGGTTCATCGGCCACATCACTATGACACATCTCGGGGTCATTGAAGACGGCGAAAATAGCGATGAAGTGGCGACCGTTGAAAGTGCTGCCATCGAGTACAATGCCAAACGAAGCGGGAAGTTCCTCAGCAACCCTAGCCTCCGCAGCCTCATAGACGTGCATCAGGTTCTTCTCCAACGTCTTTTCACTGATCGAGGAAAGAGACGAATTTTTCCTCGTCATCTTTCGCTCGACAAAACGAAGGGGCAGACTGTCCATCACGACCCTCTCACACCAGTGAAAAATGTTACGCGTCTCGTCATCGACAACACGCACGCAGAGTGCGTTTCGGACCTTCGCAGCTCGAGAAGCGTCTTCAAGGTATGACGGATGGTAGGTTCGCAGGTGCGTGATCAGGTTGGTGTAACCATGTGCACTCTTGTACGACTTCGAACAGATAGAGCATAGATACTCTACCCTAGACTTCTTCGTGAACATCCGGCTGCACACTAGCTTGTTGCTGATTGGTTGGTTGGTTGACGACATTGGGCAGGTTGGGGTTAACAGTACAGAGTAGAACTCAGCAAATGTAATTCTGAGGCAATGATGCCGTACTAGACAACCTAAAGTCTAGTGTGACTTGGGTTTGAGTAGTATATTGAGGCTAGGTGAAGTAGAAACCTCTAGAACCACATCCCCCTTTGAATTGAATGCAGTATTAAATAAGATTGAATTAGTATGCTTTGAAAATAAATTTGTTCAAAATAAATAATGGAATATATAAAATGGAATATATTTTTTGACCTTATTATTTTTTGCGGTTCCCTGTCCAAAATTGGACCAGTCCATTTCACTAGAAATAAATAAGTTATTTTCATTCGGAATCCAAACTATTTAAAGAAATTTATCATGGTTGTTCGGTAGATACATGTTTGTAACATATATGAGAGGCATTTTATCAAAAGTATCACTATCGTATTTTTGAGGTTTTTCAGCGACGAGCAGAGGGCGAACGTGTGTCATCTTGACTTCCTCTAGATCCTTTCAGCTCCTTCAAACTCAAAGTTGAAGCAAAGTGTGGCAAAACAAGAAGGGAGGTTCAGGAAGCAGAAAGAATAATGGGAAAAGCAGAGATAATTGAAGAGAAGTTGATATGCTCTCTTATCAACAGGCTGAATCTACAGGCACGCAGAATGCAGTGAGTGACGTTGTGGAGTGGACCTTAGATTCTGCAAGTGACTGTCATGTGTGTATCAACAAAGACTTGTTGTCGAACACGCGTAAGAATGATGGTCCACTGGTGTTCGACTGGGAAAACAAACCTGCGAGAAACAAAGGACTGCTCGGCGAAGTGAGACTTAGGGTAACGAACGAGAACAAGCCGAAGGCAAAAGCATCTATTGGTCTCTCGAGTGTTTTATACACGCCAACTGGAATGAACAAACTGTTGAACTTGGACAAACTGGAGCAGGATGGTTGGGAATTCACAAAGTTAAAAGGACAGAATGTGGCGTGGCTTCGGAAAGGTAGTTTGTTGTTGAAGCTTATGAAATCGTGCGGTCGCTACCGCTTGCAGACTCAAGTCCTACCCGTCCATAGCGTCACAGCGATGGCTCAAACCTCAAGCCACGACAACAAAGCACTTATGAGGTGGCACACACATTTCGGGCATCTCAACTATGGAGCTTTACAGAGAATGGTGCGAGAAGGAGACGTGGATGGTATGGATTTAGACGGACACGTTTCTGCTCTTAGTGAACGATGCTGGGCCCGCGTTCAGTCTCGGATGAAGAGGATGTCTTACAAGAATGTAGACACTGCAAGATCAACACGAATGTATCAAAAATTGATGTCTGATATGTGCTATGTGGGTGCATCGACCTGCGATGGCTATTTTCATTTTGAACTTGTGCAAGATGAAGCTTCACGCTACGTGTGGGGATTTTTGCTGAAGCGGAAAGAGTAAGCGTGTAGTGTGGTGACTAAGCATCTAGAATGCCTTCTTGCGCAAGGCATCAGATTGAATTGTTTAGGTCAGATCAAGGTCGTGATGTGGATGGTAGAGCGGAGATTCATCGGGATAAACGTCATTACAGTGGAGACTTACGAGAGTCTCCATCTATCGTAGTTGGTACTCCAACCACCTCAAGCGGATTAGCGTCGTCTAGAGGGCCGGGCCTGTAGGTGGTGTGTTGAGGGAAAATCCGATGGGTACAGCTGAGGCTGTGACTCGAATGGCGCGTGCGCGCGGACTACGAGAGAGGTTTCCAGCACAAGATCATGCAGACATTAATGGAGGAGGCGGTGCAGAAGGTGGCAAGATCCTGTCTAACTGCAGTTGTTCTACACCTTTTGAGGGTAGTGGAGATCTGTCTAACCGCAGTAGCTCTATGCCTTTGTGGCTCCGCCAGCTCTCGGTGGTTTGGATGGTGAATGGGTATGTGACTCTGAAGACTCTTGTGATGATAACACGGGTAGTGTAATTGCGAACGGTGACCCGATGGAAAATATTTCTCGTTCAGTGGGAGCAGAGGAAGGCGAGATGGAAAATAGTCTTGGAGCTTCTGTTAGGCGGTCGACTCGTGTAAGAAGACCGAATGACCGCCTGCGTGACTATGAAGTGGAAATTGCAGCTAGTCTTGTTGTGCAAGCAGTGAACGAGCTTCTGGAACCTACGTCTGTTACCGAAGCGCTTTCTGCACCTGATGCTAAGAAATGGATTGCGGCTCTAGAGACTGAATACAAAGAACTGATGCGAAATCATGTCTAGGAACTGGTTGAACGGCCTCCTGGAGTGAAAGTTCTAAAAAAAATAAGTGGGTCTTTGTCCGGAAACGGAATGCTCAAGGGGAAGTGTGCCGGTATCGAACACGCATCACTATTAAGAGATGCCAACAGCAGTATGGTGTCAACTTTTGGGAAACTTACGCACCAGTAGCCAAAGCAGAGTCGGTGAGATTCGTTTTACTGCTAGCATTGAGTCTAGGCCTGTTGTGTCGACAAGTGGATTTTGTTACGGCATTTTTGAATGGACCACTTGATGAAGCCGACATCTACATGGAGCAGCCTGACTACTTTGATGACGGCACTGGATGCGTATGTAAGCTGCTACAGAGCCTATATGCATTGCGACAGGCACCAAGGCTCTGGTACAAGATGCTCGATAAGTATCTTAGAAAGTGTGGCGTCAGCCGGACCAAGATGGATGCAGGCGTATACGTACGAACTGTGGGA